GTTCAGCCTGGAGAAGAGGAGACTCAGGGGGGACCTTATCACTCTCTACAACTGCCTGAAGGGAGGGTGTAGTCAGGTGGGGGTTGGGCTCTTCTTCCGGGCAATGAGTGACAGGACTAGAGGGCACGGTCTGAAACTGCGTCAGGGCAGGTTTAGGCTGGATCTCAGGAAGCCCTTCCTCACGGAGAGCATGCTCAGGCACTGGGATGCACTGCCTAGGGAAGTGGTGGAGTCACCATCCCTGGAGGGGTTTAAGGAGAGGCTGGATGTGGCACTTAGTGCCATGGTCTGGCCGATGTGGTGGTGGGACATAGGCTGGACTTGATGATCTCAGAGGTCTTTTCCAGCCTCAACAATTCTGTGACTCTGTGAAAAAAGCAGTAAGTGGAGCACTAGGATCCATCTGAAGTCCATATATATAGACTCATCCATTTAAAAGTATGCCAATAAATAAAGGGTTTAGGGACACATCTAAGGAGAAGCTTAGGGATACCATTGTTAAGCAGTGAAATGACTGATTCTCACCACCAAAATTCACACCCTCCATCAGTCATATGGGAATAGGGGGGAGTTAGATGCCTTTAAAATGGCAATCTGCACACTGAGCAAACAGAATTTTATTGCCAAAAATAATTCAGATGACAGACAGTTATTATAAACAGCTCTCTCTGATGAACCTCAGACAACTTACTCCGGATTAAAAGCTAGCGCTTTTCTTCCTGTAATTCGTAGCTCTGAGACTTACTTTGAAAGGACATAACTCTTAAACAATTCAGGCTGTGTCTTTCATATGTTGTGTGTCTTTGGCAGGCAGAACAGTTATCTTTCAAATCAACAGAACCCACCTCTCTAAAGTCTGCCTTAAGTGTCAAAACTATAAGTTTAACTTGGTGCTTTCAATACCTGTTGCTCAAGACATGCTGCAGAAAAGATTCTGAGCTTTGTTTGGCCAGAGAGGAGAAGCATGCTCAGCATAAACGTGGCCATAGCTAAAAGGCATTGGTCCTTCTCCTGGCAGGCAAGATATGCCTGATTCCTTCAGTCACAGACAGAAAGGAATAAAAAGAAAACCATGGTTTCCTATATCTAGCCTAAGTTTGCTGTCCTGCCCTGTTATCCTCTAACTCAGAAAAAGCAGTCATCTTTGCAAGCTTTGTGGGAGTGCTCTGAACATGCCCGCAGGCAAGCCCCTTCAGGCATGCAGGAGAAGGACCATTTGAGTCCTGAGAAGCACTGAACCTGTTTGAAGGAAGGTGCTTACGGGAACAGCAACAGCATCAGCTCAGTGATAAAATTCTTACTCTGCCTGTCCATTAAATCCTCACCGATGATGTTTTATCCTAGCATAATTTTTCAATAGACTATCTGAATATATATATTCTAATCTACGTTGTGCTTCCCAGTACATCGCCCATTCTGGATGATTTTAGAGCCGAGGTTGCAGGATGTACCAAAGTGTGTTTCTGCATCACCTCAAATACAGAATGGTTCTTTTTCTAAGTGTTTACCAAATGTTGTAGGCAGATTTTAGAGTGACAGAACTCAGAACATACTAGCTATCACCACTACCCCATGCTGCTAATATTAATCTCCCTCTTATCAGTGCAAGCCACAGTCACACCTTTTCCTGGTTCTCCTGGCATACTTGCTTGTTCTCAAGGGAGTGCAATTTAGTGCTGTTTGTAATGTTTGTAATGTAAACAGTTTGCCTGCAAGGAAATGGCCTGAAGCAAACAAATGTCTACCATACTGTGAAAAAATATACCAGCCCTAAAACACAGCTGTATTTGAATTACTGAAATAGAGATAAAAAGCTTAGGAACAGGCATATTATTAATCTTATAAGCCATTTGACCGAAAGTCTCAGCAACCTTTATAGCACCATATACTGAGAAACAGCAAACTTTCTCCATTCTACGTAGACCATGTGAAAAGTAAGATATTACTTTCTTCTAGAACTTTGAGGTTCAGTATAAATCTCAGAAGCACGATAACAGACAGAACAGATTAAAATCTGATGATCCATATATTCTCACAAATGGGACATAATTAATTCACAGTAGAAAAACTTCAGTATTTTTCAATCAGCTGAACTGGAAATGAAGTCAAAACTCTTTCCTCCTTATAAAGGTTCTTCATGTTTTTCTCATGGGGATCATCTACAAAGCGAAACCCTTCAGGTTTCCTGAAGTCCTGTGCTTTTTGTCATTGTCAGCTCAGAACAGAAAGATAAATCATCTCAATTGATTCAAAGAGGGAAATTCCAGAGAACAATACTAAGAAAATCACTTCTAGGCTAAAAAGGTTAAACTTGTTCTATTGTACATGACACATGCATCCTCTTTCTAAACCTCCCAACATGTACACTGTCCAAACATTTTTATACTGTGACTGATTAAACCTTTAAAATGGTAAACTTTCAGATCGATGCTCTGCTAATTACCAAGATCCATCCCTCAGGCATACTGAGATTACTAAATACAGTCATACAGCAATTATCAGTTGTGATAGCAGAAGTCTGGGTCAGTGTGTCAGCATGTGAACCTGAATTTGGAATATTTGCTCCTGAAAATACACCCTGAAATATTTTCATCTAGGTATCATATGCACAGAAGTATGATACATTGAGTCTATATAAACTGTAACTCCACTCTTCTTACAGTTACTTAAGTCTATTGGCAAGTAGAACAGATCATTATATACTATTGAAGATACAGTTTCTACAAATGAAGACATGTTCTGGATAATATTTTAACTTCGTTGATGCTTAAAATAACTCGAGTTCTGCTTTTTGCACTACACTAATACATATAATGTATTGAGCAGCCCATACGGACTATTAGACTTCATCTTTCATTAAGTATATACCAGATTTTTTTTTTATAACTATGAGCTAAAATGCAATATCGAAAGTGGTTTGAGTTTGGTGGTGATGGCATAAAACCATACTTTCAGAGACAAAACTCAATTAAGGGATAGTTTCTGGAATTAATTAATAATTTTTTAAAAAATTTTTTTTCACTTGGTTTTCTTGTATGTGCCATCACAAATATTTTGTATAGCTGCTTTTATTACAGTTAATCACATGCTTCATTTTCATGTTGATCTCAATGAAGCAGTCTCCTACAAAACTCAATGACTAGAAATTCAGACAAGGCAGAATTGCAGAAAATCACGTTAATGAAAATATCTGTATATTGAACATGCATTAGCAGAGGTCAGAAAAGACAACGTTTGTCTCTGCTCCTACTAAAACAGATCAGAGGAATCAACGCAGCACAATGCAAATTTCCAGGTTCTCTCCTCTTTTTCAGTTACCTAAAGACAGCTTTACTAATGGAAGTATTTCACCCTCTAAAACAAGATTAATCCTTTGTTGTGTATCTGCCTGCTTACCCTTATGAATTACGGGTAAGTTATTTCATTAAGTAAGGTATCACAGATCATCAAATCAGTCGTATGAGATCATGACACTAGCTGTGGCCTAAATGCAATACTATCACAATACTGATACCACTGAAAATGTGTGACCATTTCAGGAGTTGTACAC